ACGCGGCGGATGCTTTTCCTCGTTACGTACATGCAACTCGATGCGAAACCGAACCTCTAGCCCCATCGGCTCAGGGAGCTATACAACGCGTGGGCAATCGTGTTAGGATTTTAAAACTCAAAAAGTTTTCTATTTTAAGAAATCCAGTCATATATCTGCAGCACACCCACATCTCCTCTCCCACGACCCTGACCACAAGAAACTCTGCCCCATCCAAAACCATGCCCTTCTCTTTAATGGAACATTGCCCACCTCAGAATGGAATCACCACCGACCTCATAAGGGTGCATTCCCCACTGCTACCTCACTTCACCCCCGGACCTGCCTGTCACAGACTCACAGCCTACTGATTCACTAGTGTTCTCTAAACCTGCCTAATCTATAATATTGTACAACTTGACACACACATATATGGACAGAATCGGGATGGATGAGTAGCACAGGAATTGATTTCTCAGCTACGACAACTCGAGTAGATTCGAATACCTGCGTGCGCTCGCAAACCTAGCCACGAATAAATTAAACATTGCAAAGCGCGCTCACGGGATCTAGGCGGACTAAAATATCATAGGCGGACTAAAATGGATTAATCGGCGGCCGTTTCAGTTTCATTAAAAGGATCGAACGAACATAAACACCAAAGCGAACTCGCGACTGTTGGTTCTGTCAGGGAAGTGTATGGATACGTCCAAGCAAAAGCCTGCCTTTCACGCCACGCCCCGTACGTTCACTTGTTTCAAGCCGAGGCGTCGTCGTCAGACGCCTCTCTGTCACCGATATCTTTAAAACGGGTCTGCAATGACGATATGCAGTGCTATGTTGCTACATACAGGTTGCTTGTCTAGAAGGTCCGTCGAATTAGGCATTGGGGAAAATCTACCAATGCAGAAACGTGAACCTGGGCGGTAGCAGCAGCAGCGCGGGTGACAGTGGCACTCCCGATCACGAGGAATGGTCGGCGAGCGACAGCTTCCTGGTGTTGATCGCGCAGCCGCCGTCGCTGTTGCTCGACTGCACGCTGCTGCGGTCGTCCGTGTCCGAAGCATTGTCGTTGTACGACAATATATCAACCTCGTCTGCAAACGAACGAGAGAAAAAAACTCGTCACAATCGCGATTCGTGGGACGTTCGCCGTCAAACGTTGTTGTGTGTAGTGTAGTGTTATGAATATCGTAACGTAATGTATACATATATATATATATATATATATATATATATATATATATTATTATATATATTAAGATATATTATTAATGGGAGTTCTCCCATATATACTCTTGTTTTATATAATGTAGGTGGATAGTTGCTGAATTAAAAATGACTTGTTGGCACTCGCTAATTTGTGTACTTTTGTATGGTGAGCTATAGTGTCATTGACACTAATTTTTTCATGCACTGTTCTCTATATGTATCTATATCTATATGAATTCTATAAATTGAAGAACAACAACAACGATAATAGTCATTAACATCAACAACAATAATATGTAGCCTGTGAATCAGGATAGACATTTATAACTATTTGCATTAGACGTGTTGTCGCACTGGAATTGCAATAATTGTATTTTGCAGATGGCACGCAGTGCAGTTGTGAAGAAGATGTGGCAGATTATCAAAGAAAGGAATCTAAAGGACCCCCGGGATGGCCGTTACCACATTTGTGATGATCAACTCCTGACAGTGTTTAGTAAGATTTATGCATTAATTTCCTCGCATTTAAGTTTTTGTGTGCCCACCATCTTTACAGTTGTTGAATGTCGCTGGGATTGCTTGCGAAATTCAACTTTGCTTGAACTTAAACATTTAGTAGGACAGTAAGAGTATTTACAGCTGTAGCAGCATGACAAGTAGTAACAGCAGTAGCAGTAACAGTAGCTGTGTATTGGTAGCAATGTAGGCAGCAGATGCTATGGTAGTAGCAGTTACAGTACTCAGCAATATCATTCGCAATAGCTGGAGGGGCAATGGTAATAGCTGAGCAGTAGCTGTTACTGTTAGATCATCTAAGATGAGTGATGGGGTCCTGCATGCCTTGTTCTGTAGTAAGCCTCATTCTGTGCAAACGAGCTGATGCTTTTCAAATAATTTTGCACCCTGTCGTGATGTTTTAACATTGGTGCTGCATTTATACAAAAGTCGTTCTGCAAACAAGAAGTCAGTTCTGTTTAAGTGTGTGCAATGTCTGAGTGAAAGTGATGTTCATATGTCTACTCCAAGTGGCATGTGTAAAACAGAGAGGTGTATGTGCTAGTATCGGACATCTTTTTTTTAACCTTTTTTATAATTTTAACATCATTTACTACCGGCAAGTTTTAATAGCAGGGTATTTCACGTTTGCGTAATTCTTCATTTTTCTTTTCAGAGAGAAAAAGGGTGCAGAGTTTTGCAATGATGAAGTACCTAAAAGAACACATAACACAACCGAAGAAAACATAACGTATGGGATGACAGCATGCAGTTGCACATGAGGTGGTTTGCAGATGGTAGGGCCCAGGTGGGTGGCCTTCTTTTTTCTAAGGGAAAGGTCTTACTGAGGTTGAGGTTTACTGGCATTCTTTAGTGGGAGGCAACACTCACAGATCTGTGCGTATCTGTGCCAGAAACTTATATGATACGTATTCATGTCCCTCTGTGGGGATGCGTGCTGTTTTAGCGGTGAAATAATTATTATAGATTGTAAGATAGGGTTCATTTAGATAGTATTTCGTGTAAGAATGCCTTGTTCAAACTTGCCTGTAGTTGGATCTTGATGTTGAAGATTATAACCTGCACATGAACAGTAGAGTGAAAAGATTAATCCTGGTTTATTTGTTAATAACGGATTCTGGTATGTTTTGGAAAATCATTTTAATTTGTTCCAGTCTGTTTTAAGATCGATAATAACTGTAAAGAACAATTATTAGTACAGGCTCATAAGACATTGATGAACAATGCAGTAGTTGCAAAACCAACCATTTTCTGATGGTGGAACAGTAAAGGTACATTAATATTTTTTCTGTCAAAGGCATATAAAAAGTTGTTGTCAAGTAAGTAGGGGGCCTACCTCCAGTTGCTTGTGTTTTATATTTACAGTTATCATAGAGCAACTTTCGTACTACATTATAATTAATATAAGCGAGTGAAATAAATACACTGAACTGTGCATCTTTTAGTTCAGAGTAATAAATTATGGGGATCTGGTATATTTTGTGTCTTCATGTCAAATGTGGAAGAATATACTTTTATTAATGTGGTTTCCAGGTGCATTGTTTGCAGAAGTCTGTTTACTTTTGGTATTATTTCACAGCACATTTCTTTCGGTGGCTACTTTGCATAGCCAGCAATGGTTTTACGTTTGCTTTTGTTTGAATATAGTATCACAGCGTGTTTATTTGCACGCTTGCCGCTTATGGGCGGTTGTGTATCGTTACCACCAGGGGCAGTATATGATTAAGAATAGAACCGAGTATAAGTGAAGTCTATTTTGGTACCTAGTGGGTGGACTTTTCGCCGGCCTATCTACATGTTTTATTTCCATGGCCGAGTAGGCACGCAACCTATAATAGTCGTGATCGTACATGTAACGTATGTGTTATGTGTGTGCATCCCCCCTCCTCCCCGTGATGTAATTGCCTTTGCCGTAGTCGTTGCGGTTTGACGAAAATGTCTAAAACTGGGGCATGCGTGGCCATAAGTTAGATATACATAATTGTAAATATTGTGACGGGTGCCCATCGAGCGATGGCAATTATTGATTAAGTGATTAAATACCATACAGTTTCAGGGCTCAGACCTATTGCACACGTTTTTCCACTGCAAGAGAAGGTTGTTTCACTGAAGATCATGTGGTTTGTTCAACTGCTTATCTGCAGAAAGCATCGCCTTCATTACGAAGGGTGTGTTCGTCGTTCGATAGTTAATCTTACTGTTTTATGCACAATAAACGTTTTCCAACATAATCCGTATTGCCGCCCTTTCGTAAACGGCTTAGTCGATGACGTTAATGAAATCCGATACAAAATGCTAATGCTGCTGCGAGTGAGGTTAGGCTGTGTAAGACAGTGCTACCTGAAGTGCAGAACCAGTTTGGAACTGCGTTGTTGTTGCTGTCGCGAGTATATATATATATATGTGGCCTTCGGGCATAGCACGCAGACTCTATTTCCTGCTTCTTATTCTTTACAGTTTTGAACTGTGCAGGTCGGTAGAGAGGAACCCCACGATATAAACATGACCGTGACGAGTCCATTGCGCAGAGAATTTTTCAATTACAAGGTGCACCAAACATCACAGCTTTAAGTGGCAATAACAAGGACATTCATGATTACGAACTGTATGTATTGTAGGAAATGTCCGTGCTCATTCGGTGTGCATCGACACAAACTTGAGCAACAACAGAAAATCGCACCATTATTTGATAAAATTTATTTTTGCAATAAGAGAACGGGGCAGTCGTCAGACTGTGTCTCCATAATATAGTATACTTAAATATATATGTACAATACACGTATGGTCCAGAATGTCTAGAACGTTCACTCTACAGCCAGAGATCATTTTCTTTAAGGTATTCGCAAACGACACCTATATGCCCACAAGTGGTCATCAGCACTATTTTGCTTAACAACCAGGCTGAGTGCAGCCTCACTGCATAGTGGTATTTCATTAACTGACAGGCACGAGAGAATTACAGAGGATTTACTCTGAATCTACGATATTTAGAACGACAAATGCGATTAAACTTTACAAGGTGGCAGTAGCGTGCACATTGCACAGTGTGCATTGTTACATATATTCATTTTGCTCTTAGTAATAGCTTGATAATCACAAAATATACACGTCACACGAAGACGAGAAAAAGCACGAGACACTAAGAAACACGTATACAGATATATATATATATATATAATAGCCATGCGAAATAATTTACCACTTCTACGAAATAACGCGCGACTTCATTCTGCGCAAAGAGGGGGGTTGCAGCTAAGGACGTACACGACTACAACCAGTGACAAACTAAGAAACGTCATATAGCCCGACGACCACATGACATGCTCTACACAACTATTACCGGAAGGCCATAAGTACGTGCCACGTGGTGTGATTCCCCACACAACGATTCATCAGTCCACCATAACGGATCGACAGACGAAACGATACCACGAAGGAAATGAAGCAGCAGTAATAACCACCACCATCTATTGTACGCTATCGTCATTCCTGATGGAAATGCTTTCAACGCGTTTCCGCCATCAGCCCAAATAGAGAAGGACGCTGTAGTTGATTGTGTACTACCACTACTAATACAGCACGCTGCTCTGGCGTCTTGAACCTGTATTTCACACCTTTGTTCTAACGCTCATCCCTCGCCCATTCACCATAATTAGTTACGTGCATGCGTCAGTTCATTCCACTGTTATGCTAGCTTATCGACTTACAATGCGCAGCGTTGCTGTACCTTCCCTTCCTATTCACTCTCGCTCCACCCCGAGTGCGAATACACATTCGTGAGCAGGCACAGTCCCTCCCTTTCCCCTCCCCCTCTCCCACACACACACACACATGCGCTGTCACCCCTGCCTTGTCTGTCCGTGCTTTAGGGAGTGACATATTAAAACAAAGCTGCCTGATGGATAGAGCCCCCCCCCACCACCACCACACACAGACACCCGTAGCTAAAACTTTCAGCGAAAAGAAAACCAGGGTTAGGTGCATGCTGCTGCTGACGTGAATGACTGAACGACAAAGGACCCCACCCCACCCCACCCCACCCCACTACTCAATATACACGAGCGGCTTTAGCTCTGCTGAGTAGTCTGGTGTTACCTTACTGGAGACACGTATACATACACAGATATATAATTAGGTGCACAGCAGAATAGCGCCGCATGCTAAATAGCGGGGTAAACCACGTGCTTCCCCACACCCCACCCCAACCATGTGCTACTAGTACGAGTAGTGAGTGCGTGGATCCCTTTAAAAACCACGAAACTAGGCAGCAAACGGAGTGTGGAGCGGGGGGGGGGGAGGTGGGAAAATGGAGCACGTATAGCATACGCATAATTATATATACACACACACAGCAACGGCGATCAGCTGTGCGCGAGAATAACGGATGACGGCTAGAGGGTGTAGGCCAATCTGTGGCACAGTGACACATTTATGCTACAGCTTCCTACCAAAACACACATCGTTCTCTCGGCGAACCTCCCTCCCTTACTAACGAGAGCAGTCTATCTCATACAGCAGTGAGCGTATGTGCGCGCACGCATGCACACGCACGCACGTACGCACACGCACGCACGCACGTACGCAGACAGCACATCTCGTATAATATCAGCGCGTTATAATCAATCTTCGTTAGGAAATATCTTGCCGCGGAACGAGAGATAACATGCCGAAACGTAAACACGCCGAAAAATCCCCCCTGCACGCGGCCGAGTGAGACATCATGCGTACTATCTGCCCTAGTTGCACCCTTTAAAAATACGTACAGGTGATGTACACATGCGTAGCCTAAATAAATAGTTTCCAACCCAGTTTTCATCAGTAATCTGCAGTCAGGTCAGTCTTCTCAGTAAAATATTTAAATACAAAAACACGTTTTTTTCGGACAGCCCATATTAAAATCACATTACTTTATAGGATGACTCATACAAATGATTTCTTTAGGAAATACGTTTTATATCATGACCTGTTTATCATGACATGTTCGATACTGGTCAATAAATAATGAGTTCTTCTTTATAAGCTACATACAATGTACAGTCCGGTACATCATTATATTACATAACGTGGAAATGGGATATTCCTTCCTTAGATACAGTATGTTACAAACTACACACAATCTTGATAAAAATGCGTGTACATTAATGACGACCATTAGGGCCCTATAGATCTGTTTTCATTTGGTACTCGTCGGTTGGTATACACTTACCACTATATAAAGCAATAACCACATCCAAATGGACAGACGACCCCTTACTCTCATATTTATAGTCATTTCTATTCGCCGTTTGAAAGCACCGTTTTCTGAGACCGGTTCAACACGGTGGAACGTTCAACAGTTGGCTGAACGGACGTAAACAAAAAAACGCAACCGTGCAACACTCGATTTTCAACCGTTAATCATATCCCACACGCACACGTACACGCAGTCAGTAGAGAGCTGACGAGAAGGAAATGACATTTCAAACTCATCGAATATGTTCGTGTAATCGTGTTGACGTTAGAGTTGCCGGTTTATATATATCGAACGAGTGCACATTATCATAATTGTTATTGTGACAGACACGTCAGAGTTGTGTCTGTGCTGTTACCTTCACGACAATGAGATCACCCGTAAACTCTCCGTCACTACGCCGTTGTCAGTTTCCTCTTACACACACACACACACACACACACGCACACACACGCAGCACACACGCGGCGTGCGAAATGCTTCTTCTCGTTAGCTACATGCAACTCAATGGCAAACCGAAACCTCTAGCCCCATCGGCTCAGGGGAGGCTTATACACGCGTGGGCAAATCGTTGTATGGATTTAAAACCTGCAAAATTTTCTATTTTAAGAAATCCAGTCATATATTGCAGCACACCCACATCTCCTCCCACGACCCTGACCCAATACTCTGCCCCATCCAAAACCATGCTCCTTCTCTGTAATGAACATTCCCACCTCAGAATGGAATCAACCACCGTACCTCATCAAGGAGTGCCATTCCCCACTGCTACCTCACCTTCACCCTGGACCTGCTCACGACTCACAGCCTACTGATCACTAGTTTCTCTAAACCTGCCTAATCTCATAATATTGTACACTTGAACACACAATGATATCGTACATAATCGGGATGATATGAGATAGCACAGGAAATTGCATTTCTCAGCTACGAACAACCGAGTAATTTCGTAATACCTTGCGTACGCTCGCTCAAACCTAGCCACGAATAAAGCTTATACATGCAAAGCCCGCTCACTGGATTAGGCGGACTAAAAATAATCAGCTGACTAAAATGATTATCGCGGCCGTTTCAGTTTCATTAAAACGATCAGAACATAAACACCAAGCGACCTCGCGACTGTTTGGGTTCTGATCAGGAAGTATGGATCTACGTCTAAGCAAAAAGCCTGCCTTTCACCGCCACCCCCGTTACGTTCATTGTTTCAAAGCGGAGCGCTCGTCGTCAGACGCCTCTGCTGTCACCGATTATCTTTAAAAACGCGGTCTGCAATACGATATGCAGTGCTATGTTGCTTACATAACAGCTTTGCTTGTCTAGAAGCTACGTCGAATTGGCATTGGGGAAAATCTACCAATGCAGAAACGTGAACCTGGGCGTAGCAGCTAAGCAGCGCGGGTGACAGTGGCACTCCCCGAGTCACGAGAATGGTCAGCGAGCGACAGCTTCCTGTGGTGTTGAAGTCGCAGCAGCCCGCCGTCGCTGTTGCCTCGACTGCACGCGTGCTTGGGCGGTGTACCGTAGTCCAAGCATTGTCTCGTGTACGACATATATCAACCTCGTCTGCAAACCGAACGAAGAGACCAAATACTCGTCACAATCGCATCGCGGACTTCGCCGTCAAACGTTGTTGTGTGTAAGTGTAGTGTTAGAAGGAGTGACGTAACGTAAGGGTGGGAGGTGAGCGAGGTTAGGGGGATATATATAGGATATATAATAAAACCTGTCTATATATCATACACGGCACCCACGATCACCTCTGTTACCCGTGTGTGCGCCGATTTTAAACCCTACACGTGGTTCGTGAATCGGCGACGAAGTAGACAAACGACCCATCGAGGATAGGTCGGCGGGGTCGGCAACGCTTATGAAACCGGGAATATTGTTTACCCGGGCCTCGTTATTTCAAACGGTGAATACAAAACATGCGGTTGAATGTGGAAAGAAAAGGGAATCCACGGCGCTAATGAAGTGAAAAGTTACGTTTCTTAGAAGCGCTACGAAATTCACACTGCTATTTTCTCTCTCTTTCTCTCTTTCTGGTGCTAGTCTCGCACGCACGTTCGACCAGTTTTGTTGTAACTGTCAGCAAAAATCCCAATAATTTCAATTACGAACGTGTTACGCTTGTCAGCTAGGGCAATACAGCACGGCGTGCGTATTAGCACTCAGCGCTGTAACAGCAGGCTGGACAAACAATGACTTTAACGAAAGTCAAGGGTATTTGAAGAACACGAGTAGGAAATTGCTCTCGTAGCAACATTTAAATTTAGTCCTGCCCCGCACCCCTTATTTTCCTGGGTTCGGGGAATGACACGAACACGTATCTCTGCACGTGCCTCCCGATGCACTCTACCTCTACAGTAAAGATAATTTACAGTACTCTTTAGCATAAACGAGAAAGGACTACACTAGCTGCCAGTCCAAGATCTGACATGTGTTTGTGAATCACTCGATGGGAAACAGACTGTCACATGCTGACGTGTGAACGGCCGGTCGGGCGGGTATCATAAAACTTGGCAATCCCATGAGATATTAATGAGCAATATATCTGCATTGCCCGTCATAAACACCTAATATTTATTGGCGAAACTTATGCTGATCATCCAATTTCTCATGGGTGATTAGGGCGTATGCACGGCCGAGCACACAAACCATAGTCAAATTCTTTGAATTCGAAGACGAAAGAAACGTACTCACATCGCGCCGATTTAGACGTTTCAAAAATAAAAAGCTGCACGGATCGAAAACAGCAGGGCAGCCTGTAAGCACGTATCTTCCTCCCTTGCATGGCTGCAAGCTTATTAAACCAATTAATTCTCACTGATTCGGTCGCCTAAATTTGCGTCAGATTGAGAGAAAAAAGCTGACATGTCTGTAAGCTAGTAACGCTCATAGGGTCTATGTCCCCCAGGGTATCGCCGGAACGTACCCTGGTATCTGATATGGTTAGGGTTAGGGTTAGGGTTAGGGTTTAGGTAGGAGTAGGCGTAGGTCGACTCCCTAGACTCGTTAGTGGAGTAGGCGAGGTACGGTCCGGCATATTAGATAGTACCAGGGTACGTTCCGGTATACCGGAGCGTACCCAGGGTACGTTCCGGCAGTACCCGCCTGGGGGACATAGCCCTCTCAGCGCTAGTAAGTAGTAAGACAGTATGTGTCAGCGAGTTGTAAGTCTGTAGGCTAGTAGGTAGTAAGAGAGTAAGTATGTGGCAGTGGGTAGTAAGTCTGTAAGGAAGTAAGTATGTGGCAGTGGGTAGTAATTCTGTAAGCTAGTAAGTAGAAAGAGAGTAAGTATGTGGTAGTGGGTAGCATGTCTGTAAGCTAGTAGGTAGTAAGAGAGTATGTGGCAGTGGGTAGCATGTCTGTAAGCTAGTAGGTAGTAAGAGAGTATGTGGCAGTGGATAGTAATTCTGTAAGCTAGTGAGTAGTAAGCAAGTATGTGGCAGTGGGTAGCATGTCTGTAAGCTAGTAAGTAGTAAGAGAGTATGTGTAGTGGGTTAGCATGTCTGTAAGCTAGTAAGTAGTAAGAGAGTATGTGGTAGTGGGTAGCATGTCTGTAAGCTAGTAAGTACTAAGAGAGTATGTGGCAGTGGGTAGCATGTCTGTAAGCTAGTAAGTAGAAAGAGAGTATGTGGCAGAGGGTAGCATGTCTGTAAGCTAGTAAGTACTAAGAGAGTATGTGGTAGTGGGTAAGTATGTCTGTAAGCTAGTGAGTAGTATGAGAGTATGTGTAGCTGGGTAGTATGTCTGTAAGCTAGTGGAGTAGTAGAGAGTATGTGGTAGTGGGTAGGCATGTCTGTAAGCTAGTAAGTAGTAAGAGAGTATGTGGCGCATGAGTAGCATGTCTGTAACTAGTAGTAGAAAGAGAGTATGTGGCAGTGGGTAGCATGTCTGTAAACTAGTAGGTAGTAAGAGAGTATGTGGTAGTGAGTAGTAAGTCTGTACTTGGCTACTAAGTAGTATGGCAGTAAGTCTGCATTAGTAGTAATTTCTGTAAAAAAGTACAGCATTAAGTGAGGAAGTATTTGTCGGTAGGTAGTAACATTGTAAGGTGGTAAGTTGTAAGGCAGTACATGCCAGCAGGTAATAATTCTGTAAGGTGTACTAAGAAGTGCAGCAAAAAGTGAGGCAATATTTGGCAGTAGGTAGTAACACTGTAGGTGGTAAGTAGTAAAGGCAGTACATGCCAGCAGACCTGTAATAATTATGTAAGGTGTACCAAGAAATACAGCAGAAAGTGAGGCAGTATTTGGCAGTAGGTAGTAACACTGTAAGGTAGTAAGTAGCAAGGCAGTATTTGGCAGTAGGTAGTAACACTGTAAAGTGGTAAGTAGCAAGGCAATATTTGGCAGTAGGTAGTAACACTGTAAGGTAGTAAGTAGCAAGGCAATATTTGGCAGTAGGTAGTAACACTGTAAGGTTAAGTAGTAGCAAGCAGTATTTGGCATAGTAGGCAGTCAAACACTGTAAGGTAGTAAGTAGCAAGGCAATATTTGGCAGTAGGTAGTAACACTGTAAGGTAGTAAGTAGCAAGGCAATATTTGGCAGTAGGCAGTAACACTGTAAGGTAGTAAGTAGCAAGGCAATATTTGGCAGTAGGTAGTAACACTGTAAGGTAGTAAGTAGCAAGGCAATATTTGGCAGTAGGTAGTAACCAGGCCTCGAATTAAGCGACGAGAGGAGCAAGGCAATTTTTTGGGGGCATGTGAGAAATTGCCTTGAATTTTCTCTAAAATGGATGGGCATCGAGGCAATTTTAAAAGGCATCAAGGCAACTTTCACAATTTGAGAAGGGGATCAAGGCACTTTTGTAAAATAAAGAAAAACTCATAACAATTAATAAAAATTTTACCGTGTATGTACAGACCGTCTCCCGCGCACCATGTACATCGTCTCCGCCACCATGTAAGCTAACACCGTAACACCAACCGCCTATACCCCCTCTGCTAATGGATCGAAGTACAGTAAACAGGGTTCAACATTAACTTTTATTTCACGTAGACCATCGGGCTAGTACTGAGGAAAACCATTAGCCCTGACCTAACTTTCACTAGCCCAAGACCGCCAGACCATTGTTTATGAAAACCTTGTGTCATCGTATGAATTCTACTAAAATTTCTCTAAATTTACTGCACTAACTAGGCAAGCTACACACCGTACGCAATGGCGATTCTTGCGCGAGCGTCGTTTACCGCGCTTTAAATCGCGGCGCGGGCCGAGTCCAAGTGCAGCATTTAAATATTTGTGTTCTACCACGGGCAGCCACGTTATTGTTTTTGCCGAAGGATAGACTGGTATCGGCCTCGCGCTCTGCTAAGACAATGTACACGCTCTGCGACAAACAGTGCGGCGGCGCGAACCAGTCTAGCCAGAGCACCGACAGCAATTACAGAAAAGGGCAAGGCAGGTCACTGCCGTCGGTCGGGTTGAATTTTCAGGGGCAGTAGCGCATTGATAGGGGCACCCACGGCAATTGCCGTCGGTGCCGTCGGTTAATTCGAGCCCTGGTAGTAACACTGTAAGGTGGTAAGTAGCAAGGCAATATTTGGCAGTAGGTAGTAACACTGTAAGGTGGTAAGTCGTAAAGCAGTATTTGGCAGTAGGTAGTAACACTGTAAGGTGGTAAGTCGTAAGGCAGTAGCTGGCAGTTAGTAGGAAGCAGCAGCATACCCATTTCGGAGGAGTTCAACGAGGCAGTACTGGCTGTAGAATTACTCGATTCACTAATGGTGCGGTCTCGTAGAGCAAGCTGCTCAATTGTCATGCCCGTCTGCTGCTGCAGCTGCTCCAACCTGCCCTGTAGATGGCGATGTTCTCTGCGCAGCTGCTCCTTAGCGTTCATTTGCCTCCGATCCTTTTCTTCCAAGTTCTGCATTGAAGAAAAGATAAGAGAATTATTGCTGTTACATTCTGTGCGTGGAAAGTGTGAGCTTCGTTAAACCAACCCTCCGTAACTAAATAATTGATTATAAAATTTCAGCTTAGCTATGTAAATAGGTTCTGGAAGAATGAAGTAAAGTTCTGCATATGAAAGTATTTAGATGCATGAAATTGTACATATCATATATGCTTGCCAGACATTATCTGACTTTAGCTCACTAACACTAAAACAAAGGTACAGCAACCCAAAGATATAGATTCATTGTAAGTGTGAACAGTAACATAGATCATAAGTAAGCCGTTGTTCTTCATATTATAGCGCAATATTCGTGTCCATATCTGTATCTGCTATTCTGTAAGAAATGTTCACCTGCGAAGAAAGACACATACACATGGGCTTTCTGGCCACAGTTCTACCATAGAAACCTGCCTGGCTATAACATCATGGCCATTGTTAGAGACAGTAACCATTTAACGACATAGCAAACTAGAAAGCTGACACTGCTCACAGAACTAACATATAAGGACGTTGCAGCTGCAAACTAGCCCGATTCTCATACGCATACACATACCCACACACATACAAATAAACACACATATACCATTTCACAGATATCTGGCACATGCCAACTAGTAGTGTTTACTCTGCGGCCACACTCTGCTCCACATTTTCAGTAGTAGCCAGTGAGGGGTATGGCACAAAGACAGACACATGTGAAGTGGTAATTGTGTGTATGCCCGGACTGTCCGCTCATCTGCATGCGGCGTGCGTGCGTGCGTGCATGCTTAAAAGTCTACCTGTATAGCCCTTCGCTCCCTCACAGACTCATAGGGCAGAGCAGAGAGCTACATATCTGCGCTCGTGTGTGTGTTACGTTCATCCAAAAGGTTAGGTAATTCAGACATGCTACTTACTGCCTAGCTTGGAAAACGTAACCTTTTTTAGTTACAGTATCTATTTGCAAGCTTACGTTACCAGTACTACCCACGCCAACCAGCAATAAAATGGCAAATTGAAATGTTCGGGCGAGTAACTATCAGTACCGGCGGACAGCATCTCCTATCGCCTGTTCAATAGTGAAACTACACCTGGCGACCCGTAATCGACCCACTCGGCTCGAGCCAACACGCGCACAGCCGGTTGAGTCATTGTGCTACATTTCGTCTTCTGATTTCATCGGTGGTACAGCTGGCCACCGCCACACCACGTATGGCCAGCATGCGTGCAGTGTGTGTGTGCTCCAGCACCAGCACGACTGACCCGTGCACACACACACACACACACACGCACACATACACAGCAAGAGCTGCCGCGCGTGGCAGGGTCCGGCCCACAACGAGCTTTGTTCGTGCTCGTAAGTTCAACGCGCAGGCAATGACCCCAGCAGCCAGCTCTCCGACCCAACTCGCGCGTAGTGAGGGTAGATGAGGGTAGATGAACCTGAGGCAGGGGGGGGGGAGGGCAGCTTTTTTTCACCAACAAAGGTGTGCCGCCTATTGTTGTGCTACCAGATATTTAAAGAAAGATGGGAACTTGTTTTTGGCGCGCGTTGCTTTTCGACAAAGCGCATCTCTGCGAATGCCGTTAACACGTGGAGGGGGGTACACATGTAAGCGTAGCTGGCTAGCTGCTTGCCATAGCGTGGATATTTCGCTCTGGGGAGGGAGTACCACAAAGTTTGCCTCGAGGTAATAAAAAATCCCGTGTGCATTACACAAAGTGCAATACTGAGAATTTAGCAAATTAGCATGGCAACAACAGCATTTTCCTCGGGGAGGGGAAGGTCAAAGGGCCTCTTGTTGACTACAATCAATGACTGCTGTGGAGATGTTATGCATGTGCCAACCCACCCTCGAAATTCGGAGGTTGGGCAGTTGGGTGGCCACAAACAAGGGTGATGCTCCATTAGGAATTCACTTTAATGTCATTAATGTCGTGATATAAAAGAGATATAAAGGGAGGGGGCGGATCGATATAAATTAGATATCAAGGGGGGGTTAGATATGAAATAGATATCAAAGGGGGGGTTATATATAACGATATAAAAGAGCTATTAAACTTGTGCGCCTTGGCTGCGCGAGCAAGCAAAATACATAGCGGGGGCATGTTTGCTTTGTTTCGCTGGACTTCGCTGGGCTTCGTTGCTCGAGCAAGCAAAATTGAGACTGGGGTATGTTCGCTTCGTTTCGCTTGCCTCCGCTGCGCGAGCAAACAAAATATAGAGCAGGGGCATGTTCGCATTGTTTCGCTGGACTTCGATGGTCGAGCACACAAAATACCGAGTGGGGGCATGTTCGCTTTGTTTCGCTAGACTTCGTTGCTCGAGCAAGCGAAATTGAGACGAGGGATATGTTCGCTTCGTTTCGCTTGCCTTCGCTGAGCGAGCAAACGAAATATAGAGCAGGGGCATGTTCGCTTCGTTTTGCTGCGACTTCGCTGGACTTCGCTGGTCGAGCACACAAAATACAGAGTGGGGGTATGTTCGCTTTGTTTCGCTGGACTTCGTTGCTCGAGCAAGCGAAATTGAGACGAGGGATATGTTCGCTTCGTTTTGCTTGCCTTCGTTGAGCAAGCAAACGAAATATAGAGCGGGGGCATGTTCGCTTCGTTTTGCTCGACTTCGCTGGACTTCGCTGGACTTCGCTGGTCGAGCACACGAAATACAGAGTGGGGGCATGTTCGGTTTGTTTAGCTGGACTTCGCTGGACTCCGTTGCTCGAGCAAGCAAAATCGAGACGAGGGATATGTTCGCTTCGTTGAGCTAGACTTCGCTGGTCGAGCCAGCAAAATAGAGACCAGGGGTATGTTCGCTTCCTTGCAAGGAAGAGAGAGGGAGAACGAGAGAGAGGGAGAGGAGAGAGAGATAGAGGGAAAGAGGTCGAGTGAGAGAGATAGAGATCGTTAGCAAGGGAGATAGAGAGGTCGAGTGAGAGAGGGAAAGAAGGAGAGAGATGGGGAGAGAGGGATTGAGGGAGACAGAGAGAGAGTTAGAGTCAGAGAGGGAGAGATAGAGGGAGAGAGGGAGTGAAAGAAGGAGTGAGAGAGTTAGAAGGAGAGAGAGAGGGAAAGTCTTTTGAACAAGCAGTCTTTTGACTGTGACCTGCTCGTGTGCGTGTACAGACATGCTTACTAAGTGTGCTAATTGTGTGCTACACGTGAATGGGTTTCCTTTAATCTCTACTCTTGCCTCGATATGCCCGCCTGTTCGATAAAATTTTGCATAACAGAAATTGCATAATGCACTGTAGCCAGGTGAAATATAGTAGCATAAGCTCGACAGCGACCGACGCAACTCAGGTGTGTCACCGCCTGCTGAATACGAAAAAAAAACCGTTTGCGATTAGGCATTCGACACACCGCGGTGAACACGAACCCGAAAATGGAGTCACTCATTCGCAACGCGACGACGATGGCGCACACAAACAACAAGAGAGTGCCCACGTGCGCGCACGCTACGATTACAACGCGCGCGCGCGTGCGCGGCAAACACAAAGGTGCGCGTTTTTCGGAGGCGAACCCTTACCCGTATGAAGGACTTTGCCTTCATGAGAAGACCGAGAGTGGTGTGCCGACTAGAATCCGCCCCTACGGGTACTATTTGCTTGAGCTGCTCCAGACAGGTCCTCAACTGTGCTCGCCTGCGAGAAAACACACAAAACAGCGACAGGTTAGTCACCGTAGCGAGCCGCGCAGGTCTGGCCCGACCAACCCCCCACCGACCCCCCAGCGGTATTAAACAACATCCCCACCAACCCCCACAGCGGTAACAACACCCCCACCGACCCCCACAGCGATATTAAACAACACCCTCACCGACCCCC